AGGGGGATGTAAAGCACAGTATAGGAAATGGAGTAGCCAAAGAACTTATACACAGGACCCATGGACAGGAACAATGGTGGGGGGATTGCCTGAGGGAGTGGGGGGTGCTGAGTGGAGGAGGGCAAAGGGGAAAAATCAGGACAACTGTAATAGCACAATCAATAAAATATAATTTAAAAAAATAAAGATTTTTAAGAGAATCAATTTATCTTGTGTGTTTTTTACCACAATAAAATAAATAATTTTTAAAAGCAGGCCCAAGAGATGGCAGATGTGCAAATACACGCTGTTTTTTTAACTTGCAATTCTATGGCTCAGCTTTGACTTCATAGCTGTGTGACCTTAGATAAAACTGTTTCCCCTCTCTAATCCTCTAACACATTTGCCTTGTAGAGCTTTTGTGAGCACCCAAGGGAGATATGAAGTGTTTGGAAAGGACAGTGGTTAAGACCACAGACTCTGGAGCCAGGCAAATCTGAGTTCAAATTCTCCCTCTGTCCTACCCTGACTTAATGACCACTGTCAAGCACATCACTCTCTGAGCTTCAGGTCCTTCCCTTGTAAATGGAGCTGATACTATTCCAAGCACATATCTCCCCAGAAGGCGTGACGAGCCAATGAACAATATATGGAAAGTGCTTAGCACAACTGAAGGATTCATGATCAACAGCTGTAAAAAGCTGTGTCTACAGGAAATCCAGACAACCTTCTGATTAGATGAGATTAAATGTTTCTCAAAACTGTATGCCACCGCCATTGCAACTGCTCACACCAAGCTCACCCAGCTTGAAGCCACCTACACTGGGCTTCCAGCTATGTCGTTAACCCTAAAAGCTTCTGGGAACCAGTCACAACTTTTTATGGCAGCTGGGACAACTGGCAAAACGCTATTGGCCGATTCTTGCCCAAGGCAATTAATTTAACCTCCATGAACCTCTGTTTACTTATCTGTAAAAATAATAATAATAATAATAATAATAATGGTAATAATATTACCTACCTCATAGGGTTATTGTAAGGATTAAATAGAAAATACCTGATCCATAATAAGAGCTCAAAGAATGTTGGCCATTGTTAGTCTTTCTTCTCTACCCCGGACAGAGTTCAAGGTGCCACCTCTGGTTTCCATAAAACAAAACACACACAGCTGTTGATTTCTCTTCCCTTTTGAGCTGGGACCTCCTTGGGTGCAAGCCTTCTGGCATTTCGACAGCTCAGGGCCTCCTACTCAACAAATACTCAAGATATTGTTGCTAAAATACATACACACCCACACCCACACCCACACACACACCCACACACACACGCGCGCGCACAGTCATACTGTCTCTCATCCTTTGTTTCCAAACCTTCACACACCAGCCTCAGCTATTCCAGCCTTCAGAGTCCCTGCAGCCACAAAAACACCACAATTGAGTCATTTCCCTTCTGTGATTCCAAGTTTTCTCATATGTAAAGTGGGAATAATATCAACATTAACCTCACACAATAGCCCTTAGGTTAAAGGCAAGTAAACTTCTAAAGTTCTTGGCGTTCAGTAGGTGATCAATAAATGAGTTTCCTCCTATTCTGACCTTCTCTGTGGCTTGACATTTGTGCCCTGGCCTGGCCTTGCTGTCCATACCATCTAAAAACTCCCTCATGGAGTGGTTTCATTACAATTTCTCCAAGAAGCAGAGGGCTTTGAGGGGCAAGCTAAGGAAGCAAGCATGCTGACCTCTGGGGAACTCTGCACTGGACCTCCCACCATGTCCAGTACAAGGAGTCTAGGACTATGCCAGGCATATGTATTGATGGATAAACAGAGTTTCTTGTCTGGAGAGAGGTCAGGGACAGGGTCTGGGGTCCCAGTGATGGGAGGTGGCTGGGTATCAGAATTTCCTAATGTTCCTTTTCACTGGGGCCCACCCCGGCTTCAGGCATGTATATTACATTGATGAGACTCAGTGTTCGCTCAGCTGGATTAGGACATCCTTGTGGTGCTGGGGGGTCCTAAACCTGTCCTGGGTCTCTCCTAGCTACCAGACACTCAGATGGTATCTGTCTAGGTCAGCCTCGCCTCTCCTTGCTTCCTGGAAGTCAGGCAGGGCAGGCAGACACTTCTCTTTCTGGGCTTCCCCAGCACAGGGCACACCCTTTGTGGTACCAGGAATCGCACTAACATCTTTCTAGCCTGGACGTTTCCAAGTCCTGCTGGTACAGAGGGCCTGGCCCAAGTGGGGTCGGGTCACACAGGCCCAGTTCTATACCTGGCTCTGCTCTTTCCTAGTTGATGTTTGGCTCGCAAAGCTTCTCTTTCTTAATTTGCAAAATAGCAAAAATTAAACTTTCTTCACCAGGTAGTTGTACAAGAAAATGAAGCAATTTGTGGACATGATTATTGTTCAATAGCTGTGAGTTCCTCTCCCCTTCCTCCTACCTCAAAAAGTGTTTGTTGAATGAATAAGTGAATAAATAAGCAAACAAACTAGCCATGCGCCAAACCAGCCTCCTCTCCTCTTTTGGAAACAGCCACCGGGGTGGCTGAAGAGAAATGGCAAGAATTGAGATCTGGGGACCTGGGCCATGTCCTCAGCAGTGCCAGCCACTCACTGTCTTTAATAAGTCTCTGCTCAAGCTCTGAGCCTTGGGATCATTATCTGCAAAATGGGGTGCCACGCCTACCTCAAGTATCTTGAAAAGGAAGTAAGATTTGGGAGCGTGATAAAGAGTTTGGCAAATTGCAAAGCACATGGTAAATGGAAGTGGACTTTATAAACTGTAAAGAAAGAGAACTGCACAAATCCTTGACATTCTTCTCCCGTCAGTCAGCTCAGCTCAGGCCCTGAGGGGCCCCCTCCTGTTGAACTAAGGGGGTGCAGAGGGGCTGCTGAGTGGTGGTCCTCGCGCCCCATTCTCTCTCTCTCTCTCCTCCCCCTCCCCCACATGCTTGCCTGCACGAGCACGCAGACACAATCCAGCTCTGGATTCCCTTTGGCTGAAGACACAAGGGAAGAAAGGAAGAGAAAGGCAGCTATTAACTTCTCAGCTTGTGACATTGAGGATCCTGCCTCTGTGAACTGCTGGGCTGTGTGAGGCCCGCTTGCAGGTTGAACGTGCTGCAACCACAGAGGCTCCCCGGTGCACCCCACACCGACACACATACGTATGTCAGGCTCCTTTCCCCTCCCGCCATGCTGCCAAGGAACCCAACAGTGGCCAGCGAGAGAGGTGGCTGCGCCGGGGGCCCAGCATTTGCCCCTCTGGGGCCTGGCTCCGCTCCTAACCCTCGCTGCCCCAGGAGAGTCAGGGCGTGCTCCCAGGCTCCAGGCCAGCCCTTGTGCCCTCCTAGGCCCACCCATGGGGCAATGGAGGAGGAACTAGTCTGGGGAAGGCAAGGCTGCCACTGAAAAAGAGGACTACCCCCTTCTCTTCAACAAGGCCCTTTTCCCAGGCCTCGAGAGGAGGAGTTCTCCCTGTAAAGGTCTCCCTATGAAAGGACAAGCAGACTTGACCCCAGCCTCTCATCACAGCCCCAACCCCACTCCAGTACCAATCAGGAGCACACACTCAGTCCTGGAGGTACATTTTGGCATTAATGCCATAGACCGTCAATTCCTTACCCAAACCTTCTTTGGGCGGATGTCCCCATCTGTCCAAAGAAGAGAAGAGACTTGCCCAAGGTGACAACAGCGTCAGGAGCAGAACTGAGACCTGATGCTGGGCTTCTGGCTCAATGTCCCTCCTCCTCCAAGTACAACCACCACTTCACCATTCATCTATTCAACCCATATTCTGAGATTAAACGAGGCGCCCAACTCTGTGCTAAGAGTAAGGAGAAAACAATGAACATAACAAATTCCTCATCCTTAAGGCACGTACAGTAGGAATTACAGGGCCTTATTAGCCGTAACCCAGTGGTTCATGTTCGTACAGCATGCTACAATCAGCAACGCACTTCCCACCCAGCTTTTTACTTCATCCTCCCCATAAACCCACAAGGGTTTCCACGCTTTAAATCCCAATCTGCAGAGGAGGAGAGTGAGGCTCCTGCGTGGCTCAAGGCCCCAGCTTGTACTTAAGCAGGAGCCCGGGAGCCTGGGAGCCCCGCTCAGGCCCAGGGCCATGTCTTCCCCTCTGGAGTGGACGCCTCTCCTTGGCTGTGTTCTCAGTACCTAAAGGCAAAGACATTCGCTTTTTTTTCCCTTCCCTAGCACTCAGCCCCAAAACACTCTCTCTCTCCCTGCCCCCCTCCCAAGCACCCAGAACACAGCTGCATATTCAGACAGAGCTAAATTAGAGCTGCCCCAATGCCTGGAGAGAGGCTGATGGCTCCCCCCTTCTCCCCAGGAGAGTGAGTGTCTGGGCGGCAGCCCTGGTCCACCACCTGCCAGAGAAAGATGGAGGGAGGGCAGGTGCCATCCAGTGCCCTGTCCTGCCACCTGGGACCTCATGGGGAAATTGGTTGTGGGCTGAGCCCTCTGCACCGGTCACCTGGTTGTCGCTATCAACCACCCTCGCACCCCGGGAGACCTAGCATCGTGTGAGCTCCTAAGTCCCCAGCCCTGTACCAGATCCTTTACCTCTCCCAACAGTCCCACTGGGGAGATGGATTTATCTTCATTTGACAATTTAGGAAACCAAGGTGCAAGGACGGGGTGCAACGTAGCCAAGGTCACAGAGCTAGTAAAGCACATGGCATTCGGCTCTGTGAGATCTAGGTAGCCCCGCTCTCATCACCATCATCACCTCCAGTGGGGTCTCTGAAATCACTTCAACACTGCCTTGGCCTCAGAGAACCAAAGAGGGGAGCTGGGTTCCTGGCTGAGTTTGGTCGTGAAGAATTCTTTGCAAACATGAGACCCTGGGCCTGAGGAAGATGCCAAAGCAGTTTCTGAAAAACAGAACCACCACTTGCTTTGGAGCAGTCTAGGGGCATGACCTAGATCTCCCGAGGACATTTTCATATGCCTCCCCCTTGCCAACCAGGGCTGAGACCCCCCCCCACTTCAAACCCTTACCTGGACGAGGGGCAGCGGCAGCGGCTGCAGCTGTGAGATCTGAGCGTCTCTGTCTGCAGACCCAGGCTCTTTGCTTTGTGGAAATTGCAGAAGTGAGGTAACAGAGCATGTCACTGCCCAGTCACCCCCGGGGAGGAAATGCCATGACCCTAAAGCCCTTCTGGCAGATGCCACAGGAACCCCCAAGTTGGGTCACCCAGGCCCTGGACACTGGTGGAAATTACCTCACAGGACAGAGGACAGAGTAAGGTGGGGACAGCAGCCACCGTGCCAGGGAGCTGGGGTGAGAGAGAGAAAATGCAAGAGAGGGAAAGCAAGAAACAAGCGAGCGTGCTCTCAAGAGAGAGAGAAAGAGAAACTGAGCATCAGAGTGAGGAAGAGGATGGGACAGCAGTAGCTGAGTGACCAAGAAAACGTAGTGAGAGAGGGAGTCAGGATGACATGAAAGATGGAGGGAGAAAGACAGAAAAATGTAAACTCACAGAGGGCACATGAGAGGGATGAGGACATATAAGGACAGAAATCAAGGGAGTTCAAAGACGAAAAGATGAGACAGTGAGAGCGCATTTGTCTGTCTGTGCATGGGTGTGAGAGAAAATAAGGAAAGATGGGGAGAGAAGGCGGAAAGGGAGAGACGGCTGGAATATAAAAGGGATGGGAAGGGAGGCGCTTGGCAGAGCTGCTGTGTCAGAACATGACTGACTGGGCTGGGCATCCCTGGTGACCAGAAGCAGGGAGCCCAAAGAACTCCAGCTGACAGAGCGCTAGGGCCGCGGGGAGGGGAGAGGAAGTGTCATCATAACCTGCGTCTCTAGAAGTTAGTGGGAGTGGAGTGAGGGTGAACAGACGTGGGCAACCGAAGGGAGTCTGGGAGTGCGTGTGCGTGCGCATGTGTGTGAGTGGAAGAGTCAGCTGGGTGTGTACAGGATGGGCCAGAGCTTCCTGCCTCGGTTTTTAGTTTATCCACTATTCCACTTATTTATTCAATTAGCATTTATTGAACATCCCCAGGCACTGAGCACTGTAGTGGACACTGTCTAAGGAAGCAAGTCACTCAGGCAACCCAGTGCCCTCCTACGCAGAGAGAGAAACAGGTCTTGACAAGACCAGGGTCCACGGAGAGGCAGGCGCAAAGCAGAACGCGGAGAACAGGCTGCTGACCCCCGTGCAGGGCCGAGCCTCGGCTCCGCCCCGGGAGTCTGGGCGAGCCTCCTCTGGCTAACTGGGAACGCACTGCGTTCCCTTATCAAAGCCAAAAACAAATCTCAAAGGAAAAAACACCGTCATATGTGCCTCAGTCTTAAGCACTGGAGCCAAAAACCTGTTCCCCTCTCCCCCAGCTCTGCCCCCATTATCCGCAGGCGGACACGTTCAAACCGCTTGTGCCTGCAATCCTTGCACCCTCACGTACTCGCAGTACATAGTATCACGCAAAGACGCTCTCTTATTATTACCTCCCTCCCACCACACGCACACTCAGGGGCCCTCGTCTATCACACCCTCACACCTGTCCAGAGTCACCTCCTTCCTCGGTTCATTCACCTGCAATTGCTCTGCGCTCTCCCACCCCCCACACTCTCCTCAAATCTTCTGAGGCTTCCTGTTAGGGACTTTGCAAAGACCCAGTTTGGTCATCTCCTCCTCTCCCTTAGAGGCCTTTTGAGCCTCGAGTGCCCTGAGACACAAAAGGACATGATCTGGTCATGGAATTGAACCTTTGTGCAAAATGTCCACCTGAAATCCAAGACCCTCACTCTGCTCCCCAAGCCAGAGCTCCTTTCCCAAAACTGGCCTCACCTTCTCAGCCATCCTCCAGCCACCACACTCCAGGAGGGACATCAAACCAAGGAGGGACCTCCAGGACCAACCAGCCCCCAGGTGGCCACAACCTCAAAGACACCTGACTCAGGTCCAGGACTATTGAGCTCAGCCTGTATTGCCACAGTCTCTCACATATGTTCGTGTAGCAGCTGCATAGAACTCCCTCTTCGGAGATGATCAATAAGCAGGCTAGGTAGGCAGAGATAATTATCGCTATCAACAAATGAGCAAACCGATGTTGACTCCTCCTCTCTCATACCCACGTCTATTCTGTTAGCAAACTCTGTCAGTTCTACTTTAAAATACATTCAGCTCTGTAGCTAATCAAGCCTTTAGATCTAAGCTTCAGTCTGTAGGAAACACTGGGGACAGAGGGACAAATTAAAGAACCTCGCCAAGGAGGCAATCAGTTAAACCCAGAATGTAGGAAAAGGACATTCTGCAGGACACCCAATCCAGTTCCTTCGACAGGTCAGCCACCTGGGGGAAATGGGAAGGAGATTACTCTAAATTGAAAGAGACTAAGAGACATAAAAATCAAATATAACCTGTGTATCTTGTTTGGAACCTGGGCCAAACAAATCAACTATGCCAAAATCAAGTCAAATCAAGTCAAATCTGTCAAAAAAAAAAAAAAAGACATATGTACCAGTGGGCATCCTGGAAAGAGATGGCACACTCTGATTTGGCATTTCCGGCCTCCACAACTGCCAGAGAATAAATGTGTGATGTTTTGAGCCACCAAATTTGCGGTAATTTTTACAGCAGCCATAGGAAACTAATATAGGCATAGAGGGACTTATTATACTCTCCCCTCTCTTTGTGTGTATGTTTGAAAACTTTTCTAATAAAGTTGTGTTTGTGCATGCCCAGTTCACAACACTGCCCATGAAATAACACTGCCTATGAAACAGTCCTGCCAAGGAAAGAAAAACAAAATCTGCAAGTTCAACCGCTGCTTTACAGAAATATAAAAGAGGAACAAACAAACCATAGGGTACACTCAGCAAATTCAGTAGATAGTGTATACACAGAAAAACAAGTAAATGATAAGGGAGAAAAAAGATGGCCCAAGAACCTATAGATCAAATGAGAAGCAAGAGACATAGCAACAAATTGCTACATGTGAGCCTTTTTTGGATCCTGATTCAAACAAACAAGAAGGAAGAAGGGAATGCAGGGAGGAAAGGAAGGAGAAAGGGAGAAACTTCTGAGCTAATTAGAAATTTGAACACATTGGATATTGAATCATATTAAGAAATTAATGTTAATTGTTAATGGTTTCACAGTTATGTTAAAAAGAATTTTTATCTTTTTGAAATACAAAATATTTACAGATAAAATTATATATTTGGAATTCACATCATAATATGGGCATGCCTCAATTTAAAACAATGGGCTGATAATTGTTGAAACTGGCTGCTGGCACATGGGGATCCATTATACAATTAAGTGCACTCTGGTATGTGTTTTCAATTTTTTATAATAAGAAAAGAGTTTTTTTTGTTGTTGTTTGGTTTTTAAAGTAATTCAGCTCTTGTTGTGATTTTAGAGCTCAGGATGACAATGAAAAAGGAAACTGTCCTGATGTTCTATAATGGATAATTCTGTCTTCAGGTGTCATTTTCCTGTAACAGCCATTTATTATGTAACAACATGTATGATGTTTGGTGGTGTATCATACAATGGACAAGGAAGTAAACACGATATAACCTGGAAAACTGCTAAATGACAAAAAAGAGTGATAACAATGAAGATGCTGATGTCAACAATGCACATAAAGGATTGGAGTAAATTGTGTTCATGAAATTTGAGAGTGGAAAAATGCATTATACATAAAATAATAAATTACTGTCCCAAATATTTAAGGATGTGAATGACTAAAGGAATAAATGAAATATTACAAGTAAACATTTGACTATATCAGTGGTTTTCAACAGGGGCTATTTTGCCTTCCAGGGACATTTGTCAATGTCTCAAGGCACTTTTGGTTGGCACAGCTGGCATGGGGCAGCTGGCGTCTGGTGGGGAGGGACCAGCAATGCTGCTAAACATCCTACAGTGCCCTATACAGTCCCTGCAACACAAATGTATTTGGCTCAAAATGTTAGTGCTGCTGAGGTTGAGAAACTTTGAGAGTTTTTATATAGTCAAGTTGACCTAAAAGCCTTTTTGGGATCTTATCATTAGAAAAATAGAAGATTTCTACTTAAGGAGTTGCCTTATGTTTAGATTTATAAGATATTTTAAAGAGTCCCTCACCAAAAGAACTTTTTTATTTTATTTCTTTTTATTCCTCACCCAAGGATATATTTTTTTAATTGGTTTTAGAGAGAAAGGAAGAGAGAGAAACATCAATGTGAGAGAGAAACTTCAGTTGCCTCTCATACGAGCCCCAACCAGGGATCGAACCCATAACCTAGGTATTATGTGCCCTGAGAGGGCATCGAAACTGCAACCGTTTTGGTGGACAGGATGATGCTCCAACCAACTGAGCAACCCAGCCATGGCCTTATTTTTAATTTTAAACTTTAATATGTAACTTGACTTTCAACTCCAAATGATGAAAGAGAGAGACAGTCGGACACTTGCACAATCTCCACCGCTGAGGCCCGGCTCAAGCCGCCATCATCTCTCACCCGGAGTGCGGCCCTCACTGGTCTCCTTGCTCCCACCCTTGCACCCTCTCTCAGTCTGTTCTCAGATGAGCAGTGAGTTGAGCTTCTTACACATCAAATCACATCGTTCTTCCACGCAAAACTCTCTAGTGGCTTCCATCTCACTTAGCAAAAAATCCCAAGCCCTTCGGAATTCCCTCCAAACCTGATCTCATCTCCTGCCTAGAGCTCCCCGCACTCTAGTCACACTGGCTTCTTGTTTTCTTCGACATCCCAGGTGCGCTCCTGCCTCAGGCTTTTCCCAGGTCTTGACTCAAAAGTCACCCTCTCAGTGAGGACTTTCTTAATAACTCCTTCTCCAGCATGCCCTGGGCCCCTACGCCGCTTCACTTTTCTCCGCAGCACTTACCACATCTAACATACCACATATTTTGCTGCTTTTCTTTGTTCATTATCTGTCTTCCCAACTAAACCGTTAAGTTCTTTGAGAGCAGGGATTGTTCATTTGGTTATTACTGTATCCCATTATCTCTTCTAGAACACCGCCTGGCGCATTGCAGGTGCTCCTCCAGAGAAGTTATTGAGTGAATGAATGAAGTTAGAGGAGAGGCGATGAGTCATCCAAG